TTAAAAACAACAAAAACAAAAGGATTTATTTATTATTCTTTGATAGTTTCCTAGAATATTTTAAAAGAAACTTTCACATTCCGTATGGGTTTTTGTTTGTTTTACCATTTAAAAAACTGGCACTGGTTAGCAAGGGCTCAGCGAATACACGTACTTGCTGCCAAGCCTGATGACCAGAGTTCAATCCCAGGGCCTCACATGGTAGAAGGAGAGCACCAACTCCCACAGGTTGTCCTTTGAGCATCACATACAAGTCAGGTGGCACATGTGACCAAATGTACACCAACAAAAGTAAATTATTGTCATTTTAAAAATTACTTTATTGGACCAGAAGTGTCGTACACACTTTTAATACCAGCACTCAGAAGGCAGAGGCAGGTGGATCTGTGAATTTGAGGCCAGCTTTGTCTACATTATGAGTTCTAGGACAGCTAGAGCTACATAGTAAAACCCTGACTCAGAAGAAAAAAATTATTGTAATAAATACACAAAATCATCATGTAGCTATATTAGCATGTCCATCAAAATTCTTCACTGGTCCCAGGCCCTATACATCTCAAACTGTCGTGCTGTTAGAATAGTTTTTCCTGACTCCAGGGTTTCTTAGTGTTTTACATTTTAATTATCAATCTCATTTAATGCACCTACCACCACAAGAAACATATGTGTGCATGATTGTATTGTCTTTTTCTTCCATCCTAAAATCTGTTCTTCTGCTTGTTTTGTCTTTGATTGACATCTCATTTACCTCAAGTGTTTTGTTCTGTTCTGTTTTTTAATGTTTCAGTATTCTTGCTGAATTTTTCCTTGATATTTTGGACTTTTACCTCCAGTTTACTGTTTGATTCACTTTTTGTGACTGTCTTGTTGTCCATCTGTTTGTTTGAATCTTCTATATGATCACTTATTCTTTCAAAAAAGTAAGACTCTGAAAGTGGGCGGAGTTTTCCTGTGCTGGCAGCCATGCCCAAATAACCACTCAGGAACTGATTGTAAATGCTCTGCCCATAGCTCAGGCTTGTTACTAGCTAACTCTTACACTTTAGCCCATGTTTCTTATAGACCATCCGTCACATGGCTCATGGCTTGCATCCTTATTTTCTACAAGTCCTGTTTCCTCTGTGTCTGCTGGCATCTCCCTGACTCTGCCCTTTTTCATCCCAGCATCCTTAGTTTGGTTGCCCGCCTATACTTCCTGCCTGGCTGTTGGCCAGGCAGCATATCATTAAACCAATTTGAGTGACAAATCTTTACAGTGTACAAAAGGATTATTTCACAGCACTCTGAATTCTGAGACATTCATCTTTCTCTATGTTTTCAATTCCTTCCTAAGGGAGTGGTTGGTTGGAGTGGGTCATGGAAGGTGGCTGTGTCATATGCTTTGTGTTTCTTTGTGGTATTTTGTGCATCTCTTAAGAGTATGTTTGACATTCAGTTTTGACTTTCCCATCTTTGGAATATATTCTGTTTTGTTTTCTGTAATTCTCCCTAGAGGGTTATCTGCATGAAATTTAGCTATGTGGACTGGAGAAATTTAGTGTTGTTAAGTGTAGTCACTGAGGTAATCCTTTCATAGCTATGTGCCATCGGGACCACCGGTGGAATGGTACATGAAGAAACAAGGCAGGCAGATGGGGTCAGAACCTCAGTCATTGCCAGGATCTTGTGGATCCACTGGGGACCAGAATAGCAAATGTCAGACCCACTAAAGTCTGGGTGCTATCTGTGGCCTGTGACTAAAATGGTAGGCTTTAAGTAACCTCTGGGGGACCACAGTAGTATAGACCCCAGAGTCCTACAGTGACCACAGGAACCTTAGACTTCAAAACCCCACACCCACACTAATCTTAAAGACACTGAAGTCAAAGCCCCAGTTTCTTAGCAGACACTAAAGCTGAAGCTCAGGCCCCCACTGTCCTCTGAGACCACCGGGACTGAAGGCTACTTCAGTGCTCTCAGAAACCAGTGGACCTCGTGACGTAGTCTCACAGTGGTTTCTGGTCCTGCAGAAGCCTGAAGTAAATAAATGCAATTTTTAAAATTAGCATGTATTTAAATTTCCCTGTTTTTAAATTTTAAAAAATACTTTATGTGTATGAGAGTGCTTTATCTACATATGTGCCTGTGCACCACGTGTGCACGTGTGTGCCTGGTGCCCATGGGCCAGAAAGGGTATTGGACGCCCTAGCACTGTAGGTACAGGTGGTTGTGAGCCGCTGTGTGTGTGCTAGAACTTGAACCCAGGTCCTCTGAACAACTGAGAACAACTGAGCCATCTCCAGCCCAACATTTCTTTGTTCTAGAAATGTCTCTTCACAGCCGGGCTGTGGTGGCACACATTTTTAATCCCAGCACTTGGGAAGCAAAGGAAGGCAGATCTCTCTGAGATCAAGGCCAACCTAGTCTACAGAGACAGTTTCAGGACAGGCTCCAAAGCTACACAGAGAAACCCTGCCTCAAAAAACTGAAGAAAAAAGTCTCTTCACATTTGTTTGAGGAGTCTAACAAAAATCCTATCTTAGATTTCAGTCGTAGCTTGAATTTTAATCTGTAAAAGTTCACTTGTTTAGTTTGTGATTTGCTGAAAAAATTAGGTTATTCCACATTCTGACTTTGGTGATTGTGTCTTTGTGTATGCTTACTTACCATGTTCCTCCTTTGTATTGTCTGCGATCCTGAGAGGCTTCATTAGATTGAGCGTCCATTCTTTTACTAAGAATACATAGGATGAACAGTGTCTTGCCTTCGTATTTGTTAGTCCAACAGGCTCATAGTCATCTTCATTTGCCCACTCGAAGGTTATGCCTCAGTCCTTTATTGATGGCTTTCACAGCCCTTGATGAAGATTGCCTAGATGTGTTATTTTCACTAGGGTTTGCAAATTGGCAGGGATTTCCTATGTACTGTTCCATGTATCATAAATTAACTACAATGTGCTGTAAAAAAAATAGTGTTTAGCTATATAATTATCCTCAAAACAGACAGCACAGTTGATTCTTCTACTATTTTTCAGAGTTGTATTTTGTTTCCTTAAAACTTTACATAATTGACTTTTTAAAAATATTATTTCGAGTTGGGCAGTGGCGGCGCATGCCTTTTTAATACCAGCACTCAGGAGGCAGAGGCAGTTGGATTTCTGTGAGTTCAAGACCAGCCTGGTCTACAAGAGCTAATTTTCAGGACAAACTCCAAAGCTATAGAGAAACGCTGTCTTGAAAAACAAACAAAACTATGTATTATTTCAAATATCTCATGTGTTCTGTCTTCCCATCATGACCATCAGGAACTCATAAAGTCAGTCTCACACAATGTCTTTCCAGATGACCAGCTCATTTCAGTAGTTTTCTGGCTTTTTGCCAGATTCATCTTCAATATTTAAAGTAATATATGTTACTTTAATGTTCTTTCTTTTCTATATTAGTATATTCTTCAGTAATGGAAACCTTAGTTTTAAATCGTATTTACAATTTTTTCTCTTCTCTCCTGCCAGACTGGGCAATCATGTAATGTAAGCACAATTTTAAAAGCCAAAGATTAGGAAGTATTCATATAACACAGACTTTGCTATCTCAGAAACTCTGTTTCCTCTTTGTTTGTTTGCAACTAATTCATCAGATTCCAATTAAGTACCTCTCTCAACATAAAAATAATATGGAAGTGTTCATACAAGAATATATCGGATGCTTCTATTAATATACACACCTATAATCTAGTACTTTGGGGCTGAGGAGAGATATTTAAGAGTTTGAGACCAGTCTGAGCCACCAGCACCTATAACTATGTTGCCTCATAGTGAAATTTTTTCAAAAACTACTACTGACCTCCAATTGCTTGGTGTACAGAAAACAAAAGACTGTAGAGTGCTTAGCTCCAGTTTGGATGATCATATATTGTCTCAAGGCTCAGGGATCTTTCTCAGGGAGGGGGCAGAAAGATTGTAAGAGCCAAAGGTGGTGGATAAGTTAAAGGAAGCAATGTTTTCCAGACAGAAGCATATATGAACTCAGTGATTGTGACAGTGTGCACAAGGCTTACACAAGCTCCAGTCAAACAGAATCCATGCATAGTTGGGAATCTGTAATCCCAGCGCCAGCTGACGCGCTATTAGCATTTAGTGATTTTTGGGAAAGGGAGATTCAGGTCATCGTTTACTGATGATGACCTTGATAAATGTGATCACATACCAGAGCAGACCTCAACCCCCAAACTAGCTGAGCAGCACAAACTAGACCTGGTGAGGAAAGAAGGTCAAATTAAAACAAAAAGAAGCAGCAGCAGCAGTCTCCACGTTCAGTTGGAAACAATGAGAGGTTTGAGGCGGAAGTGAGGGGATTGGGATCTTGAATATATTCAAAATACATTGTATGCAGTTCTCAAGAATTTTGAAAAGTAATCATTATCATAGATTTAATCACCTGTTATAATTGATGGCATCAGAAATGAGGTCAGCAAGATAGCTCAGCAGGCACTTGGTATGCAAGCCTAGCAACCTGAGTTTCATCCCTTGAACCCTGGTAAGGGTAGGAGGAAAGAACCACATGTACAAGTTGTCATCTGACCTCTACATGTACACGTGACACTGCCTACATAATGCACGTGCGCACACACACACACAATAAATTTTTAATGTCAGAAGGCCCATTATCAGCAACAATAGTTTGTAAAGTAGTCCATCTCTAGAGTAGTATAACACACCAAGAAAAAAAAATACTGTGTGTTTTGTTTATTTATTTATGGGTAAGTTTAAGGTTAGGCACCCAGTTGTCTCCAGAGATCTCTGTACTAAGAAAGGGAATTCTTCATGTTGATTTCTTTGGTTTCCCTATTTGCTTTTGTTCCTGCTAGAAAAACACCACATTCTCCAAACAGTGCTAACTGAAGTCTACTAATCAGGCTGAACCTGAATCTGAAGTGGTCTTTATTACCACAGAGGCAACATAGTTATAGGTGCTGGTTGCTCAGAACCCAATGAAAACCCAAATTTTGCCTTTCTTTTTCAGATGATGGACATAAGAAAGCTCGAAATGCTTATCTCAGCAATTCCAACTATGAAGAAGGAGATGAGTATTTTGATAAAAATCTGGCACTCTTTGAGGTAATATTTTAATTATGTGTGTGTCTGTGGGGGAGTAGAAGAGGGCATCATATTTCCTTGGAGACGGAGTTACAGGTAGTTGTGAGCCTCCCAATATAGATGCTGGGAACTGAACTTTGGCCTCTGGTAAAGTAGCAAGTGCTCTTACCCACTGAACATTCTCTTCATCTTCAGCCCACAAAATTGAAATCTCATCATGCACACACAGGAAATATGAAACCACCACATTTGCAGAAAAATGTTTGAAAATGAAAATCATTATTTTAAGCAAAGTAAGACAAATGGTGAATAGTGCATTTTTCTCGTGTGTGTGTGTGTGTGTGTGAGAGAGAGAGAGAGAGAGAGAGCGAGAGAGAGAGCGCAGAAGGCAAACTGAGAATGGAGGAGAGATGCTACGGGGACAGAGAAGTGGAGACAGGGTAATAGAATGTCTGTAACGTGAAAGCAGAGGAGACTAAAGAGGGTAGGAGGATCTGGGCGGTAAGAGGGTCAGAAGGAATGTGGGGAGGGGGAGGGGAACACAGAACAAAAGAATAATTACATATTTGTATGAAAGAAACCTTAATGAAACCCAGTACTTTGTATCTTACCTTAACTTGCTGCCCTAGTTAGGTGTAGTCCTTTTGCCATCTCAGGGCTGGGGATTAGCCCAGGACCTCATGCATGTTCTCTCAGTTCCCTGTCATCTTTCACATGGCAGGGACAGGGCTCACTGAAGAATTTTCTTCAAGTATTTACCTGTGTAAATACTTGAAGAATTTTCTTCAAGTATTTATCATTTATTTTGCTGTTTCCTGGCAGAAAGTTTATTTTGTTGCTGAATTCCAGTATCCTTCATAAATTATTTCTGACTTTATAGGAAGAAATGGACACCAGACCAAAGGTGTCGTCTCTCCTCAACCGCATGGCCAACTATACTAACCTGACACAGGGAGCAAAGGAGCATGAAGAGGCAGAGAACATCACTGAAGGGAAGAAGAAGCCTACCAAGGTGAGGCCTCAGGGTGCAGGACAGATAAAAACAGCTCCATACATGAGCGCTGAAGGCATGTCCAGGGCACCAGTCTGTATTAAGAAACTGTATCAGATGCTTGCTATACCCAGTACCATTCTGATCACTGGCACCATGGCCCAGACAGAATGTACAGTATTATAGCTTCTCGTGGGAAGCCAGTCCCTAAGCCACTGAAACTGTTAAAGCATATAGCATCTTCAGTGTCAAGTAATGCTTGACCAAAAACTTAAGCAGGGTTAAAAGGAATGAGACTGACAAGAGCCTGCTGGAAGGGTTCGATACTCCTGTGGGTCAGACAGAGAAAGCCCTCTGACGTGGTGGATTTGCACAGAGACTGTCCTAGTGAGGAAGTTAGCCGTGTTAGCAGAAGTGTTAGCACATCGGTGGGAAGGGATATCTCTACCCAGCCTCTGCTGCCATCTGCCTGGTACAAAGGTTTTTGTTTGTTTGTATGGTTGGTTGATTGGTTGGTTTCGGTTTTTGTTTTTGAGATTATGTTTCACATATAACACAGGCTAACCTTGAACTCAGAGTCCTCCTGCTTTAGCTTCCCAGGTGCCAGGATCATAGGCATCCACCATGATAATGATTCCCAGTAGTTGTTAGACTTTTCTACTACTACTGTTTTTCTTACAATAAAATTATACCAATACACATAGTTCAGCTCTTTGCAAAGGGGCCAGTGGCCCTCACGTTTTTACTTTCCCCGACTGTTTCATTTACCAACTATTGTGAAAAATTTGTACTTAATTCTCAAGAATTTCTACAAGTTTTTCTGTTTTAAAATGAGAATAAAATTTTAACAACCTTGAAGAATAGACATTTTTAGATTGGTGAGTGGTCCATTGCTTAGAAATAACAAAAACGTAGGAACTTATCTAAACTACAATGTATACTGATAATGGAAGTATAGTGATGAACTTCACTGAGAGCTGTGTCTTATTGCGTCTGTGGTAAATCTAGGCATCTTTTATGGCTAACTGTATGTTTCCTTTTGTCTTACATTTTTATTTCCAGAGCCCCCAAATGGGTACTTTTATGGGTGTCTACCTCCCATGTCTACAAAATATTTTTGGAGTGATCCTCTTCCTGCGTCTTACCTGGGTAGTGGGCACAGCTGGAGTCCTTCAGGCCTTTGCGATTGTCCTTATCTGCTGCTGCTGTGTAAGTCCTCCTGCGCTGGCCCCTAGACCTCACCTGCAGCATTTCCTGTTGGGTTTGTGCACTTGACCTCCTGGGGAGCAGGAACAGAAAATACATAAAGACTCATGAGCCCAACAGGAGAGAGAGACTTTGACCTTAAAATCTAAAAGATTTTCATTCAGTGCCCATTATCCGTTATTTCCTATGTAGTATATGATGTATTTGGTGTCCTAGATTTTTGGAAATAAACAAAATACAAGTTTTCAAATAATTCAAAATCTGGGTAATTTGGACTTGAAAGCACCGATGTTGTAATGTATATGCTATTCTAAAATGTTCTGAAAAATAAAATAGGCAGTGCCTGGGAAGGGTGAGGGGACTCTGTTCAATTTTGAAGTCTCCTTTCGTATGCCTTCCCCAGAAATTCCTCAGTTGTTTCTAACTCTTCTCTCTTACTCAGCCCATTCTGGTTTTCCCTTCATTTAAACTGCTCATTTTTATATATCCCATCCCTGTCCATCAATCTAGTGTCCCCTTTGTTTTGGTAACCATTATAATCCTCCGTATGCATTATGCTCAGCTGAGTGCTAACCATGCAACTTAAGCAAACCTAACCTATGTCATTAATAACTTAATGGCACTGCCTTGTCCACTCCCAGTTTCTCAAGCTTGAAACTTCAAGGCCATGTTTGATTCCTTGGTTGCCATTCATCACGGCCAGTCCGTTCTCTCTGAGATACTTCATATGCATGCCCACTATCTCACTGTAGATGTTACCCCTCACTTGTACGACAGCAGCCTACTGGCTAGTCACTGTGCCTCCAGCTACTCCCTTTCGAAAACCTTTATCTGCTGTGTTACTAGATAATGTTTTAAATTTGCCCTGGTGGTCTCTTTCTTGCCACATATTGTTTTTGGCATTGTAGCCAGTCTGTAGTTAGAGTCTAGCCTACTTTACAGTGCTGTCTCCCTAGCTAGTCCTTTAAAATATGCTATGTAGTAACTCTTTGTAAAAGTAGTTGGAGTTAAATATTTGTAAATGCTCTGAAGTCTTCACGTGGGAAAGTAATACGGAAATGTTAGCTCTACCTAGTAGTTGAATTCTTTTTTCTCTCTCTACAGACGTTGTTGACTGCCATCTCCATGAGTGCCATAGCCACCAATGGAGTGGTACCAGGTCAGTAGCCCAAGCTTGAGTTTCAGGGATTATCCTTGATTAATCACTGTGTATATGCTATAAAGCTGGAGGTATAAACTCCAGAGACACTTAATGTGTTTATTCTGTTGTTCATAGTGTTCTGTAACAGTGTCAGCTTCTAGAAGCCAGGGACAAATACTGTTTGGCTTAACAATGCTATCTTTGAAATCTCATTATTTTTAGTCTACAGTACTTTAATGTCAGTCACATACTTAGCTTATAAAATACTTTTTATTATACTATCATATTCCTGTAGGAAATAATCTAATTTTTCTAATAGTAATAAAATGTATTGTGCACATCATATTCCCATTAATAAATCTCCTTTGCTGCATTCAGAGTTTCCCAAACATCTTTTGTGCATGTTTTTGAATTATTACTTACACTTGTGTACAATCCTCTTAGTGATACCCTCCTTTTATTTTGTCTTGTAGCTGGGGGCTCATACTTCATGATTTCCCGGGCCCTGGGCCCAGAGTTTGGCGGGGCTGTTGGCCTCTGCTTTTATCTGGGCACCACATTTGCAGCAGCCATGTATATTCTTGGTGCCATTGAAATTTTTCTGGTAAGTAACGAATTAGTTGCGCCTACAATCCAGAAACTCTGTGGGTTTGTTTTCTTAGATATTAAGGTTTCTGAGATCAGGTGTGGCAGCGGGTCAGTTGCTGGCTGCTGTGACTGTGTCTTACTGTGACTCTGAGGCAGAAAGGTTAAGGTGTCCTTCACCTGCCCGTCCTTTCCGAAACCTCTCTCCGATTGTTCCCAACTCTATCCCCTCAACCAGGGAGCTCATATCAAGCTAGAAGACTTGTGCCAGTGTAGAAAAGTAAAATAAATCTCATTTGCTTGTATTGTGCATGTATATGTTCTAGTGTGTTGAATATATGTGTGTAGAGGCCAGAGATCAACCTGGTTCCTCCCTATTGTTGTTCCTCAAGAACCATCCAGTTTGTTTTATGAGGTGGAGTCTTTCCCTGGGACTAGAGGCTCAGCACCTGGGGGTCCACATGTCTTCACCTTCCCAATGCTAACATCATCACAAGCACATGCCACCGTGCCTGGCTTTTTACCTAAGTCCTGGGGATCAAACTCAAGTACTAATTCTTGTGCAGCAAAGCACATCACTGACTGAGCTGTATCCCCAGCTTCTCTTTTGATAACTTTATCCCAATGAAAGAATTTTCATTTCTCTACTCATACTATAAATCTTCTCTAAAGCCTTTTAAATAGAATCATTTTTTCCCACTTGCAAATGTAGATATTCAAAACAGCAATGAGAAGACAAAATAATCCATGAAATAATATTTCTATAGACATTCTAGAGCCAAATAAAAATTTGGTTAATTGGCTGCCCGGTGTGTACATAACTTTAATTCCAGCACTTGGGAGACAGAGACAGGTGGATCTCTCTGTGTTCCAGGCCAAACAGGGCTACATATTGAGACTCTGTTTAAAAACAGATGAATAAAAAGAAGGATTTAAAATATTAATGTTTTTAATAATTTTTTATTTCAGCTTTCTTTTCCTTATCAAAGTAATATAAGCTGTTATAGTCCCTCTACTTGATTGCTTCTAAATGACTGCATTTCTTCCTGCTTGCTTTTTATCCCAACAGGTATATATCGTCCCTCGAGCTGCCATCTTCCGCAGTGATGATGCACTCAAGGAATCAGCAGCCATGCTAAATAACATGCGTGTCTATGGCACAGCCTTCTTGGTCCTCATGGTCTTGGTGGTATTCATTGGCGTCCGCTATGTGAATAAGTTTGCCTCACTTTTCCTGGCCTGTGTAATTGTGTCCATTTTGGCTATCTACGCTGGTGCCATCAAGTCTTCCTTTGCTCCACCACACTTCCCGTACGTGCCCATGTTTCCACCGAGTCATTGTTGGGTAGTCAGTGGCAGTATCTGGTGATGTGAGCATTTCCTCAGAATTTCATGGGGTGATTTCCCTAGTGACCCAGTTTCCCAGCAGGAAGCTTCCTGACAAACTGTCCTGTTGACCTCTTCCTCACTTCTGAAGTGTAGACCTAGCGACTGTAGCCATTGTTAGGTGTATCTATCTTGGTGCCCCCCTTTACTCCATAACGACTGTGTTTATGTGACTGTCTCTGAAAGACTTTGCAGTCATAGTCATTACCAACAACCTTTATGGGGCATTTAAAATGTTCAGTTGCCTTTTAAAATAAAAACCAGTCCAAAAGAATTCTACAGTAGCAGTCTGGAGAGAGGACTCTGTAGCTAAGATCCCTGGAGGATCTTCCACAGGATATGGGTTCAATTTGTAGTACCCACATGGTGGCTCAATGTCTGTAACGATAGTTCCAGGGGATCTGGCCTGGTGCACACGCTTCAGGCCGGGCACTCAGTTATTTGTAATCAGTTATAGAAGTTGTTTTGAAGTCATATGGATCAGCTGGGAATCAAATTTATTGGTACTACGTTGATTTAAACAGGTTTCAGAAAAAACAATTTTTTTTCCATGATGAAAAACCCACAAATCCAGTACAGATGAAAGTGGTGGGGCAAGAACAGGAACTTCATGATTTCCCTGCTGGTATTTGGCATTTCTTCTGTGTGATATATTCATCATACTCTTTCATTGTTCTTACTTAGGGGCCATAAAACAATTAAAGAGCCTTTTCAAAGTTATAAAAGTTTTAGATGCAACATTTTATCTGTATCTCAACTTGGGAAATTCCATTTTGTTTCAGGTTCCCCTTTGGGGCTTCTCCACTTCTGTTTGGTTGGGTGGGGGTGAGCACAGTGCGTGTTATTTTGCTTTTTTAAAATTCCAGTATAATATGTTTAAAAAAACAAAACTGCAGAGGATCCATGAAACAGAATTTGAGATTGTCAAGAGCTGTTGAAGCCAAGTAATAGAACGCGGTTCATTATGCATGTATGAACACACTCTGCAGATTCCGAACCTTGTTTTCTTCTCTCAGGAGTATTTTACTATGGGTCTGTTACTCCATCCTGTTTATATCTCTGTGTAAAAGAAAAAATGAATCTACAGTTAATATTTGTATTATTCTTAAATTTCCCCTTTACTACTGTGTCTAGGCTTCAGATCAAAAACCAGATATCCCTTGGGCCATAGAGGGACGTACTTTTTCAATCTAGTCAAGCTGCCCTACAACACTAGGCAGAAGGTTCAGCAGAACAGGCGGTAACAAGGGCTCTTAGGAATGTAAAGCCCCTTCTCCTTTCATTTCAGACCTCTTTTTCTTTCCCTCCTTCTTACCACTCCCCTCCCCCTCCGCCTCGAAAGAAAGCAAACAAATGAAAATGTGATCATTGGAACTTAAAAAAAAAAAAGCAGCAGAAGCACTCTGCGGTTTTGCTGTTGCTGCTGGCTGTGGGTGGGAGGGGATTCACTTGTGTGCCCGTGTGGAAACCAGACAGTATCAGGTGTCCGCCTTTATTGCTGTCTGTCTTACTCCCTGAGACTCCCTAGCTAAACTTGAAGCTCACCATTGTTGGCATTGTTTAGCTAGGTTGGCAGGTCAGGGAACTCAGACTTTCTGTCTGTCCTCCTGACTGCCCCTATCCTGAGGACTGAAATCACAGGCCTGTGTAAGCACACCAGGCTGCTTGCCTGTGTGCTAGAGATCTGAATGCAGGACCGCATGCTTCCATAGCAAACCCTGGACATCCCTGAGCCATCACCCTAGCCCCTCCAGGATTCTTTCTGGCCTGAAAATGGATGAATAGCCAAATATGTTTAGTTCATAATTCAGTATAGTTTCTTTGTACAGTCCCTGTGCTTGAATATCACCTACATCTGCCATTTGTATATGACCTTGATCTTGGGCAGAATATTGAATGTCTGTAAACCTCAGTGCCTCCGGCCACAGAAGATAAATGTTAAAATATTGTGAGATCCATGAGGATTATACTGGCAGAAAATGCAAGTCACCGTGATCATTATTCCTTGTCCTTTCCTACCCATGGCAGTAGAATCTCTCAAAAATGAGATATTTTTTCCCTTTATTAACCTGCTTTTCCTCTTTAAAACTTAGTTTTTTCTGTTATTTTTTCCCCCTTCTTGATCTTTCTCTTCCCTGTTTGTTTTGCTTTAGGGTCTGCATGTTGGGCAACCGCACCCTTTCATCCAGACATCTTGACGTTTGCTCTAAGACCAAGGACGTTAACAACATGACAGTGCCATCAAAGCTATGGGGATTCTTCTGTAACTCAAGTCAGTTTTTTAATGCCACCTGTGATGAGTACTTTGTTCACAATAATGTCACCTCAATCCAAGGCATTCCTGGGCTGGCTAGTGGTATCATTACTGGTAAGTTAGAGTTTAATTAGACTCATTTTGTTTTTTGTTGTTCCTTCTTTAAAGACAGTGAGGAAATAGGCTTTCCCATCTTAGGTTCCTTTTTGCCCCTCATTTTTTTATTATATTAATTATGTATAACAACAAGTTTATTATTTTATACATGTATATTATGTATTTTGATCATACCGACACATACCCCCATTCTCATTTATTTAGGATTGCTCATAGGTTCGTGGGTGATGTGTTGTTTATAGCATCACGGGCCCCTTACAGTGGCTACAGGACTGAAGAAAATGTCTCTCCCACCCATGTCAACCATTAGCTGGGTAAAAAGCCTCAGGGATGGGTGGGGTCGCATGAGTGCCCCCTTCCTCATGTGACAGGATATTGATAGAGCCAACCTTGTGAAGATCTTGTGCAGGTGATCAGAGCAGCGGTGAGTTCAAGCATGCAAGGGCCACGTCAGGAATCAGCATTGTGTTTCATTCCCTCCTTTCCTCTGGACTTTCCATTCTTCCATTCCTCTGCCTGCAATGTACCCTGAGCCTTGAAGGGGATGATACAGATATTTTCATGACAAAGCCTTAGTCAGTTATTCTTATCACTTTCGCCAGTCATTAATGTACCTCCACAGTTACCATCCATTGCCCACTGTAAAAAGAAATTTCCCCGACCAAAGCTGATAGCAGCACTCACGTATAAGCTACACATAGTTTAGAAGGCAATTTGACAAGCACAGCATGTCTATTAGCAAACATAGACAGTAGCTTCCCCGCTAGGCCAATGACCTAGACCTAAGTAGTGATGACTATTGACTGCAGTGGGAAGGACTGAAGCCAGGGACTATTTCTGACAAGCCCCACGTGCTCTACCACTGAGCCGCACCCAGCCCACTGTCTAAGACTCTTCTGTTGGACTTGGCAGGGGTCCCTGTGCCTCAGCCTCCTGAGTACTGGGAGGATTGTAGGCGTGCACCACCATACCTAGCATATCTCTGCTTTTCTCTCAGGGAAATTTTCTGTATTTAGAGCTCAATTACAGAGTGCATCTGTTACAATTTGCCTTCTTTTGAGAATAGAGGCAGATAAATGACTTTTTAGCCTCGGGTAAGATAAAATATTTTGTGAATATTTTTATTTTGCAATGTTTTTCAAGCTAATGTCTAACTCCTGGGCTTATACAGTCCTTCTGCTTCAGGCTCCTGACAAGCTGGGACCATAAGGATTTGCCTTCGTGTCTGACTCAATGTATTCTTGAAAAATTGCCAGTGATCTTCCTGCAGTGATAGCTAAAATAGAACTGTTTTAATGTCACCAGACACACATGTTTTCCTAGCTCAGCTAAATTCCTGCAATTTATTCCTTAAATGGCGTCCTCTTAAATGTTGTCCACCAATTTCTTTGCCCATTAAGCAAGTTCATACTAAGAGGTTAAAAACTACTTTGATATTAACTTTTTTAAGTAGACTTTATATTTTATAACTAATTTAAAAATAGGCTTTTGGGGGCATTTTATTTTAGTCTGTTTAACTTTCACAAATTTGTATTAGAAAGTTAACTGCATTTATTATATCAAGGCCTTTTATAAAATTATATTAGAATAAATGAGAAATAACATTGGTTTTATTCTATAATGTTTAACATGTGTTCACGTTGAAGAACAATGGCTTTAAAAACTATCCTAAGGGGCTGGAGTGGATGTAGGTACAGTACAGCCTAGCATGTAAAAAGCTCTTGGCTCAGTCTCCAGGACAGTACTTATAACAATAACTATTGGGGTTTCTAATTGAATGTTGTTTGGGTAAGAAATCATGTACTTATATTACTTCCATATTGCTTATATCCTTATATCCTCTCTCTTTCTCCCCTCCCACCCCCACCTCTCACACCTTTGCAGAAAACCTTTGGAGTAATTATTTACCAAAGGGTGAGATCATTGAAAAGCCATCAGCCAAGTCATCTGACGTCTTGGGCAACTTAAACCATGAGTATGTCCTTGCTGATATCACCACCTCCTTCACTCTACTGGTGGGGATCTTCTTCCCTTCTGTCACAGGTAAGCAGTGGGTGTTAGGTTTTAGAAGCCATCAGCCATAGGAGATAGACATATCCTCAGTGTTCTAAGTTTGCCCGTAGTCTTCAGTATCAGTATGAACATCAAAGTACCCAGAAAACCAAGAGGCTAACTTGGTGTTTCCCCTCACTAGGTATCATGGCTGGGTCAAACAGATCTGGAGATCTGAAAGATGCTCAGAAGTCCATTCCCATTGGAACCATCCTTGCCATCCTGACCACATCCTTTGTGTGTATCCTTTGCATCGTGGTGGGATCATGCAGTAGAATTAGATAATAATGCCCTGACTACTGCCTCACTAGCCAGATAGTTGCCCTGCTTCATAAGCATCATTAAAGAAGGATTTTCTAGGATTAGTGAATAGCAGCTCAGTAAGTGAAAAGGGATCATCCTGGGGGTAGTTACTGTATAAAGGTGAGGGATAACAACAATCTCCTTGACTGTCAGCATAACAGATTTAAGCAATGTTGTCCTTTTTGGCGCATGTATTGAAGGAGTTGTTCTCAGAGACAAGTAAGTATAAAACCATGTGTCTGTCTTCCATGACATCTGGTCATTCATCATAGTGTCAACACAGATATACTCTCAAACCAGGCCAAGGTGTAAATCACAACTAATAAAGGAGAAAATGTATATATTTATATATATATATATATATACATATACATGTCTCATGTATATATGAAAGTGATATATCTATATCTGTATCTATATATGACATACAGACAGACAAAGGAGGGTGTGTGTGTGTGTGTGTGTGTGTGTGTCAGAGGAATATATATCACTGAGCTTGTGTAGCACAAACAATACTCTAGATTTGATCCCAGCAATACAAAAATCAAGGTTTAAAAAAAAGATTAAGATATATGTGCATAATTTAGCCTATGATAAGAAAATATTTTGTGATCTTTTTTCTTTTGCAATGTTCCCCCAGGCTAACCTCAGATTTATGGAATTAAGCAGTCCATCTGCCTCAGGCAGTAATTAATTAGTAAATAATGAGGACCAGTGCTGTTTTATAAGATTTAACTAATATAACTCTTCCCCCAAAAGCTGTGATTTTGACTAAATACTAAGTACTTTCCTGTACACCAAGAACTGCTAGAACGCTGAGCGTAACAGCAGGGCGAGCGGAACTGTGTGGTGTCTCCAGCCTCCGTTTACAGGGAGGCTCTGTCCACTCCCACTTGGCATTCTAAATGGAAGTGGGACACTGATTGCCTTAGTGCAGACGCCTTAGTATTTACTGTTTCTTTTCTCTCAGATACATTTTGTGAGATGTTTGTCAGATCTCTCCCTGAAACTTGATGATTCTTGTGTTTTCCACATCTTGGCTCATATCCTCACTCCACTCCCTGTTACAGTGGACTCTAGATATCGGTCCTAGCCTAGGAGTCTTCCCTCCTTTTCATCCGTCCTCCAAGTGTTTCCTAAGTCCTGTGAATGCCGTCCACTTCCCACTGTTCAGTGGTTCCATCACTTAGTACTGGGCTTCAGGGTTTATAATCACATAATAATTTCCTTTTGAGTTTTACCACCTTTTTCCATAATGCCACCAAGATGCTCTTTCTGTATACCTTTGTCTATGTTGTTTCCTTCGCTTCAGTTGGTTATTCCTACTTGGAAGACTCACTTCACCTCAAGACCAAGTGAAGGGTCTTCTCTCCTGTAGTTTTCCATCTTCACCCCAGAACAGAACCACTCCTCCTTTTGTCTACCCTCTATATTTGAACATTCTATGGTGTTGCTCTTACCATCCTGAATTGCAGCTACTATTTTCATATTATGTTCCCCTGATTGAGCTCTAGGATTCCTGGTAGGCAGGAATCCTAGCACAGACTATTATAAATATTGTTGAGGAAAATAGGTACCAAAAAAAATTGTGTGTGTTTGTCAATGTGTGTGTGTGTATTCCTTTCAAATAAAAGGAACCCAAATATCCATTAGAAGCAGAATGCGTAAATTAACATTAATCTAGTTGTCAGCCATGAAGCTGTGGGAGTACATGAAGCACACAAAAATTTTGCAATTTTGAGAAATCAAACACAAAATGTATGTATGTGTCTCAGAGTATTACCATCATATATAAATTTCTTACTTTGTTTTGCTTTTGTTTTTTATTTTTGTTTTTGAAACAGGGTTTCTCTGTATAACAGTCGTGGCTGTCCTGAAACTTGCTTTGTAGACCATGCTGGCCTCGTATTCACTGAAATCCTGTTGCCTCTGCCTCCAAAGTGCTGGGATTAAAGCTGTGCACCAACTCACCTGGCCATACATAAATTTCTTATTCCTATTCCCACACATCAGTCTTTATTTCCCTCAAGCACACACTGGTATGAGTTTTAATATTATGCTGTTTTACCTATTTCTTTTTTTTTCTGGAGGGAAGTGTATATATGTATGTTTGTGTGTGTGTGTGTGTGTGTGTGTGTCTGTATGTGTGTGTGTGTGTGTGTCTCTGTGTGTGTGTCTGTGTGTGTGTGTATCTGTGTGTGTGTCTGTGTGTGTCTGTGTGTGTGTGTCTGTGTGTCTGTGTGTGTCTGTGTGTGTCTGTGTGTGTGTGTCTGTGTGTGTGTCTGTGTGTGTGTGTCTGTGTGTGTGTCTGTGTGTGTCTGTGTGTGTCTGTGTGTGTGTGTCTGTGTGTGTCTGTGTGTGTGTCTGTGTGTGTCTGTGTGTGTCTGTGTGTGTGTCTGTGTGTGTGTGTCTGTGTGTGTCTGTGTGTGTCTGTGTGTGTGTGTCTGTGTGTGTCTGTGTGTGTCCGTGTGTGTGTGTCTGTGTGTGTCTGTGTGTGTGTCTGTGTGTGTGTGTCTGTGTGTGTGTCTGTGTGTGTCTGTGTGTGTGTCTGTGTGTGTGTCTGTGTCTGTGTGTGTGTGTCTGTGTGTGTGCCTGTGTGTGTGTCTGTGTGTGTCTGTGTGTGTCTGTGTGTGTCTGTGTGTGGCACAACCGTAGCACACCTGCCTAAGGAGAATGTTGGGTGCCCTGCCCTCTCATTCTCTACCTTGTTTCCTTGAAACACGATCCCTCACTTACCCGAGCTAAAGTGGCAGCCAGAAAACTGTGACAGTCTATCTGTCTGTGCCTACAGAACTCCAGAGTTACAGCTGTACACACACCTATTTTATACCAGCTTTCTATGTGGGGTCTGAGAATTTTAACTCAGTGCACTTACCTGGAAACATCTCCTCAGACTCTGTATTAGTTTTATATAATAAAACACATCAGTGATCTTAAAATGTTTTAATATATTAATTTTTGCAGTTACTCGCTCTTAGGAATCTGCCTCTATGAAAATATCTTACATGTCAATATTATGTTCATAAAGATATTGATTATAGTATTTCATATAATAGAATATCAATAGTAGAATACTGGGTAATGTAAAAATTTTTATAAATAGATGGATCATGCAAAGTATGCATAATGCTAACTAACAAGTTAAGAGTATGGACCTCTTGAGGCGGGAGAGATGGCTTAGTGGTTAAGAGCATTGGCTACCTTTGCAGAGGACCCAAGTTCAGTTCCCAGCACCTACATGGCTGCTCAGCTATCTGTAACTCCAGTTCCAGGACTTTTTGACATCCATTTCTAGCCTCTGCAGGCATCTGGCACGTGCACGGCACACAAACATTCGTGCAGACAAAATGAAAATTAATAGATATTCTTAAATTTTTGTGGACCTCCTCCCTGGTGTGTTTTTCTGCACTTTTCCAATTTCCATCCCAAAGCAGATTCACTGCCAGTTAGAAAGAGAAATCTGTAAGTGAAATTTGGCTTGTTTTCTTACTGTACTGGGTTTTTTTTTTAAATACAGATTATTAATTCCCCCCACACACACACACAGTGCTGCGAAGCATTGAACCTAGGGCATCAGAAATACACCAAGCAAATGATGTGTTGTAATAGCTATACCCCCAGCCCAGTAACATTTTGTTTGTTTATTTTTTCAAGACAAGGTTTCTCTGTAGCTTTGGAGCCTGTCCTGAAAACTAGCTTTTGTAGACCAGTCTGGCCTTGAACTCACAGAGATCCACCTGCTTCTGTCTCCTGAGTGCTGGGATTAAAGGCATGTGCCACCACCACCCAGCTTCCAGTAATTTCTTTTTAGACAGGGTTTGCTGTGCATCCTGAGCTGATCGCGAACACAGAATGTACCCTTGTCTGGCCAAACTCATAATTCTCCTGCCCCAGCCCCCTGAGAGCTGGGGTTACAGGCATGTTAATGCCTGCTATTAGTGCGCTTTTATGAAAACTATGGACCTTTACATTTTTAGTATCATGTTTACCTTAGTTTGCATCTATAAAAATTATAAGCCTGAAATATTCACTCATGATTATCATCCTATTTTTTCAATCTGAAGTTGTTTTCAGATAGAATTTCTCCACTCTTTATTTCTTTCCCAGATTTGGGGATGCTGTGAAAGGTAATTTGGTTGTCGGCACCTTATCTTGGCCATCCCCATGGGTGATTGTTATTGGCTCCTTCTTTTCAACGTGTGGGGCTGGACTTCAGAGCCTCACAGGTGCACCTAGGCTGCTCCAGGCTATTGCCAAGGATAACATCATACCATTCCTTAGGGTGAGTGACACTTTGTTGTGCCCTCTTTTTTCCCAGGTTTTGTAAAACATGATATCATTTTCAGCTTAACAAGTGGGAGATCATAAATGTTGAGAGATTTAGAATTTTAGTACGAGGCCCTCAGAATCCTTTGTATGTGTTTATATGTGATCGCTGTGAAGTTGTTCTTATTTTTCAGATGTCTGAAACTGGCACACTGGGTCACTGCCCGTGCCTGATGTTTTCCCTCATCTGTACAGGTTTTTGGTCACAGCAAAGCCAATGGGGAACCTACCTGGGCCTTACTTCTAACTGCTGCCATAGCAGAGCTGGGGATTCTCATCGCCTCCCTGGATCTCGTTGCCCCAATTCTTTCAATGTAAGAGCCACTTACTCTCTTCAGCTACTGTTGTTTAATGATATATAACTTGATTTCCATTAGTCATGTAAAAGTAGTAGTAATGACAGAGTTGACCAAACACAGACTTCACTTCCCTTCCAAAATCATTCCTGAGATGGGGCTGGAGAAATGGTTAATTGGTTACAGCAAGTATTGGATCTTCCAGAGGACCTAAGTTCAATTCCCAGCCCCCATGTAGATGGTTCACAACTGCCTGTAAGTCTAGCTCCAGGGGACCTGATACCTCTGACCTTTGTGGGCACTCGTATGAACACACACACACACACTTAAATCCTTAAAAGAATATTAGTTGGCCAGTGGTAGCACACACTTTTAATCCCAGCACTTGGAGGCAGAGGCAGGTGTATCTCTGTGAGTTTGAGGCCAGCCTGGTCTACAGAATGTGTTCCAGGATAGCCAGGGCTACGCAGAAATCCTATTACAAACCACTCCCCCCCCCCCCCCGAAAAAAAGGAAAGAGACAGACAGAGAGAGGGAAGAAAGGAGGGAGGGAGGGAAGAAAGGAGGGAGGGAGGGAGGGAGAGAAAGCAAACAAAGAAAGCATACTTAATCCTGAGAACTTTCATGTATAAGGCTTTTAATTATGACTTAATTTAATGGGGGGGGTGTTCCTACCTATATAACTTCTAAAGTTACTTGTATCCGTCTCCTTTTCCTTTTACCTGTGACATTCTGATGACTAGCTGTGTGCCTGACACTGTAATAATCTGGAAATGTAACGACGTGTAAAGCCCGTAGTCTCGAATATCTGATGGTAGATAAGGAAACCAAAGATTCCCCCACATAGTGCAATGAATGGAGAATGGCAAAGGTCAGTGCTGGGTGCCACGAGGGCACCTGAACAAGGAGGATTCTTGTAGACGTGACACCTGTGTCTTGAAGGCTGTCTGCAAAGGCAGCTGTTGTTAGTCTGCAGTTACAGGGATTCCTTGCCCTCTTCGGGCCTCTGCAGTCATTAAGCACAGTGTTCTGCACATCCATATCTCAGGCAAGACACCATACACATAAAAATAAGTAAATCCCTACTTAGCATCATGGTGCAGACCTTTTCATTCCAGCTCAGGAAGCAAAGACAGAGGGATCTCTGGGAGTTTGATGCCAGTCTGGTCTATATATCTAGACAGTGAGTTTTAGGACAGCCAATGTTGCATAAATGAAACTCTGTTTCAAAAACTAATATAAAATAAAAGGTGGTGTGTGGAGGGACAAGAAGAGGATAATGTTGAGCTGGAAATGGAAAAAAAGAAGTGCACTAGGGTGAAAGTACTAAAAAAGAAAATAAAGACGTTCAGGGGGTTTGAAATAGGCAGAATCCTAGACTTGATAGATGAATTTGGAGGGAGAATTAATAAGGAAGCAGAAATATGGGTTTGCCCTTGAACATCTGGATAAATAATGGCTGTACCAAACTTACCAAACTGGAGAGATGGTTCAGTGGTTTAGATCACTGACTGCTCTTCCAGAGGACCTGGGTTCAAGTCCCAGCACCTATGTGGCTTCTCAAAGTTTTCTGTAATTCCAGTTCCAGCACCCTCTTTTGTCCTCTATATACTAGAAGCACACATATGGTACACAGATACAGAGAAACAATCATACACATTAATTTTTTTAAAAAAAATGATTTTTGGCCATCAGCCCAAAGAGAGGATGGGAAGATGAACAGGTTTGCAAGGAAAATGTTTTCAGTTTCTTTACTTCCTGTTTGATAAATGGTTGGTGGTCTGTAAACAGAGTTTAGTAGCACAGAGGCCTCCAATTATTTAAAGTCATCCTAAAAGAATCACTTTAAAACAGTTCTTCTCACTGTTCTTATCCAAGGTTTTTCCTCATGTGTTACCTCTTTGTGAACTTGGCATGTGCCTTGCAGACATTACTCCGAACCCCCAACTGGAGGCCCCGATTCCGCTACTATCACTGGTGAGTCCTCATCTTGTTCCTCATCTTTCTAGAAATCTAGGATATTATGGGTTCTCAATAAAATCTCTTTATTTTTCAGCCGTTCCATACTATGTTAATGTTCAGTTGTCAGTTGAATTTCTTCTTTCCTATTCTTTTATAACTGTCTATATCACTTCATAATAACTGACAAGATCCACAGAACTATTAAGTTCTTACTTATAGGCTGCTTCATGTCTAAGGTTCAAACCTTTCCTTTGCACATCTGCTCTCCTATTTTCTCTTAGCTGAGCACTGGATTTCATCCCTTATCTCTACTTTTATATTCTCATCAGTTTTCATTCTCACAGTTATGAGAATTTCATTTAGTAATTAAGAATGTGGACTGTGTCGTGAGGGCACCCAAGTCCTCAGTTCACCTTGATCCTTTTGAGCCCTGTAATATGCATGAGCGCATATAGCCTCATGAGTTCTCATTTTACTAATTGATGACAGGGAGTCACGCATCTAAAGTGCACTGCTGGGGCACAGGACAGCTCTCAGTGAAAAGCTGTGCTACCACAGTAAAGTCTTGCCAGTCCTAAAAGAGCCATCCAAGGTTTTTGGCCACTATTTCATGTCTTTCCTGTGATCATATGATCGTGTGGGTTTTTATGTTCAGGTGTGCCTGTTGCTATGTTGCTATTTTCTAACTTTCCTTACTCCTCTGGCTTCACTTACCAGTAACCGCCTGTGGTGTGACATTTATGTAGCACGAATGCATATCCTAACTGGGCTTAGCACCTCCCATCCTCCTCCTAGCTTTAACATTAGTTCAAAGTTTGTGCTGAGATTTTTGGTGTTATATCTTAATCTCCAAATTAACTGTTCTTCTGTCGACACTTTAGCATTCATCACAGGGTTAGAATGTGACTGCACGCGAAAGGGCTTCAGTGATACACTGTCTGCATAGTTTATCTGCCCAAATCAGCCACTCGCTATAAAGAGCCAACAGCAGCTTCTCATCAATGGACTCTGCATTTATGGGGAATTAAATGCCCATAAAAAAATGTTAGGAGCCGGGCGGTGGTGGCGCCTTTAATCCCAGCAGAGGCAGTCGGATCTCTGTGAGTTCAAGGCCAGCCTGGTCTACAAGAGCTAGTTCCAGGACAGGAACCAAAAAGTTACAGAGAAACCCTATCTCGAAAATCCAAAAAAAATATATATATATATATTTAGGAATACTTCTATGAGAAAAATTTAACATCACGTTTCAGATTCTTGACTGTGTTCAGTCCCCACTTTTCCAAATGCTTATTAATTGTCCTTGTGGCTGATAACGCTGTCGCACCCCTCTTTATGTTTCCTATCGTCCAGCAGCAGGAAGCACCCTCTGTTACAGAAGGCACAGGGTCCACCCTGTATGGGCTAGGTGTGAAGGCTCAGTGATAGATGGCCTGCCTACATGTGCAAGGCATTGGGTTTGAGCCACAGCACCAGAAAGAAGGAAAGAGGCTATGGATATGATGGTTTTTTCCTAATAATTATTTTCATTGTATTTAGCAGAAGTTCTGTCTATAATTGACTGGAAATTTAAAAAAAAAAATTTCCAATCCCCGCCACAGTACAGGAAGCATTTCCTAGAACTGTTATCTTTTCTTGCTACTTAGAAAGATACTTGTTGATCTGTATTTTTGTTTTCATTTTCTAGGGCCCTGTCTTTCATGGGAATGAGTATCTGTCTAGCTCTGATGTTCATTTCTTCCTGGTATTATGCCATTGTAGCTATGGTAATTGCTGGCATGATCTACAAGTACATTGAGTACCAAGGGTAAGTATAAATTTTACCTTGCTCAATGCTGAGAAGGTCAAGAATGACGGGTTTGTCCATGCATGGTGGCACACACCTGTAGTCACGGTATTCAGGAAGCTGAGGCAGGAAGATTGAAAACTGAAAGCCAACCTGAGCTGCATATCAAGATTCTCTCTCAACAAAAAACAAAAAGAAAAAAAAAAGTGATGCAGAGCCTGAGATATTGATGGCTCAGTGGTTAAGAGAGTTTGGTTTCAAGAACTCCCCAGGCAGCTCACAACCACCTGATAGTCCAGCCCCAGAGGATTCAACACTGATTTGGCCTCCAGAGACACCTGAACATTCATGAGCATTTCTATACAAAGATGTGTACACATAAATAAACTTTTAAAAGTACAGAACAAATGTAAACATCTTAGCTAAACTTTTCAAGCAAGGGATAATCTGAAATGCAATTAATCCTGAATAGCATCCAAGCAACCAAAACCCCAGACAACCTCCAAACATGGGAATAAATTATATCCTGACTCAGCAGATTACTTTGGACTTCCCATTATTTTCAAAATCACAATTACAAGTGAATCACAATTTCTTAATCTGAATTTATATTCCACATAGTTGCCTTTGAATAGATACATGGTGTTGTGGACCATCTGTGGTTTGGGATGGTCAGCCTCGTAGGGGGTCCTCATGCTGATAAGGGACAGTAGCCAAAGTACAACCATGAGTCTTAGTATTCTACCTTGTACGTGTTTTACTGTGAGATTCGGAAAAGCCTAGGTTTTATTCCTTTGAATTTCTTCTCACTGCAGTATAAACGGACTGCTCCTCTTCTCCCCTCCCCCAGGGCTGAGAAGGAATGGGGCGATGGCATCCGTGGGCTGTCCCTCAGTGCCGCTCGCTTTGCTTTGCTCCGCCTGGAGGAAGGACCTCCTCATACTAAGAACTGGAGGTAAAGCGATCAGCAGACCTTAGTGGTGTTTGCACACAGCTAAAGCACACAACAGTGCTCTCTTGATGACCAGATTAAGACTGTGTGGCTCAAAGGAACTGGTTTCCAGTTTTGAACTATCCGAAAATATGGCTGCCTTACTTAATTGTATGCATTTATTGTATGTTGTTATTCTTTGAAGACTGGTCAATTTTAGACAATACTGAGACCATTTGAAATAACTCAGAACCGTCATTTACCATTCCTCTTATTCCATCCTTCTATCAAGTCAAATGTTTTGTAAAGACCTCCTGAAAGAAGGGATGAAGTTGCCATGTTTCCCACACCTAAGTGTCTGCTTCCTCACCTCTGCACAGGCCTCAGCTGCTTGTATTGCTGAAGCTGGATGAAGACTTACACGTCAAGCACCCTCGCCTCCTCACCTTTGCCTCCCAGCTCAAGGCAGGAAAGGGACTCACTATTGTGGGCTCTGTCATCGTGGGGAACTTCCTGGAGAACTATGGGGAAGCTCTGGCTGCAGAGCAGGTAAGAAACGTAGTCCACCGACCGGTATTCCTCAAGTGCTTTGTGCTTTAATGGCCTACAAGAAGGCCAGCACTGTTTGCAGAGAAGGGTGAGGTTCTCTCCCCAAATGATAAACCTTTTATGTTAGCATATAATAAAAGCTGGAAAATGCTTTTATTCCTAATTATTTAAAAATATGTTTCTGAGCCTGGCATGGTAGTGCATGCCTTTAAAATCCCAACATTTAGGGATGCAGAGGCAGGTGGATCTTTGTAAGTTCAAGGCCAATCTGGTCTTCAGAGTGAGCACCAGGATCCTGTTTCATAAAACCAAAAGCAAAAGCTTTTCTATATGTACCCTTGAAAAGAGATTGCTGAGGAAATCATGGAGGACATAAAGCATTTGAATGGGACAGCAGATGTAAAAAAAAAAAATCAGTTTAAAAGAATGTTTTTGCATAAGTGTTGACCAACTTTGAACATAAGATTTAGTAATATTTTTAAAAGACTTATCAACTTTATGTGACACCTGTAAGCTAAGTTCAGATTAGAAGGAAGCCCTCAGGTTTCTAAGATATACTTTTTTCTGTGGGACCTAGACTTCCAACTCAGTGCTGCCTTTTGAACAGTCATAATCCCGAGACAGAAGGAGCCAGAGTAGATGTCTACTCTCCCCATTTAAAGCATTTCCCGTGAGATTATCAATAAACATCATTTCCAGTTAGACTCCAAACGCTGATCTGAAAGGAAGAGAAATCATGTGAGAATTTATGTTCGACTATGATAATGTCCCTGAATCTGATGGCAGCATAGTTCAGAGTACATACGCGCTCACAGAGAACTTGAGTTTAGTTCCCAGCATGTACACACACAATCAATTTTTAAAGTTAATCCTTTTTTTTAAATTAGAAATTCTGGAAAATATTAATCCAGATGACAAAAGTTAATTTTTAAAAAGCATATGGCTGCAAATCAATATCTTTACCCTAGATAACCACTAATTTAACTTGTGTCTTTGAGAAAATCATATCCATTTTGTACTTCATTATTCCCATTCCCTTTCCAACAGAGGAGTTGGGTAAGGATAAAGAGGCATGTGATACCGCCTCTAAGTTAACTTGACTAAATGCAGCATAATAAATTAAATGCAGGTGTACTCAGTCATTATTCAAATATCAGAATGAATATACGAAAAAGAGAAGGGGAAAAGGGAAACCTTACCTGAGAAAATTCTCAAGTGAACTTCAGGGATCATCAGATTATTAGGTTATTAGGATGCCTAGGTTTCCTGAAAGATTAAGGAATGCCTGGGATTAACAAGATTATGGTGTTGACACTAGTGAATTTGCCTTGTCAATCAAGAAACTATGTCCACTACTTTTTGGACAGCCTTGTGCTCAGTGCTTCACCTGAAAAGGAAGCAAACAGAATAGAGGAAAGGGAAGAAGAGCTACATATGGTCCACCAACTACAGATATGCATATAGGCAGTAAGCACTTCTTTTTTTTTCTTTTTTTTTTCTTATATACCTTTATTTCCATCTTTAGTTCAGAGAAGTAGAAACACCTAGACTACCCCACCATCAACCACCAAGTAAATAGCTAATTGAGCTCTGTGGTCTTATCCTGATTCCTTCTCCACTGGAGCACACACACACACACACTCAGAGTCTCTGTCTTTGAGCTGTGGTGTAGTACTCAGGGAATTTATTTTCACTGTGATCTCAAGAGTATTGAAGCATCCTTTTTTTCTCTCTTCCTACTGTACTGCAGAACTGCACAACTGTTTCTTCTCTAGCCAGTAAGCACTTCTAAATTAAAACAAATGAAGCAAAACAAAAACAAAGATGACACTTCAGTGGAGCACATTGAAGTTTTTGGACTTTTCTATTATATTACATTATGTTATTACATCTATTATATTACAGTATTACATTGAATTTAGAGAAAGATGGGAATACAATAACGAGAAGGGATGATGAGTTAAAAGGTTCAGAGCAAGCCGGGCGGTGGTGGCGCACGCCTTTAATCCCAGCACTCGGGAGGCAGAGGCAGGCGGATCTCTGGGAGTTCGAGGCCAGCCTGGTCTACAAGAGCTAGTTCCAGGACAGAAACCAAAAGCTACGGAGAAACCCTGTCTCGAAAAATCAAAAAAAAAAAAAAAAAAAAAAAAAGGTTCAGGGCAAAGCAGTTGTGCAGGACAGAAACCAGACAACACAGTTGACGTTTTGTATGTTTTTCAGACCATTAAGCACCTAATGGAGGCAGAAAAGGTAAAAGGATTCTGCCAGCTGGTGGTGGCTGCCAAGCTGAAAGAGGGTATTTCACACCTCATCCAGTCCTGTGGCCTTGGAGGCATGAAGCACAACACAGTGGTGATGGGCTGGCCCAATGGCTGGCGTCAGAGTGAAGATGCTCGCGCTTGGAAGACTTTCATTGGTACAAAATTGTTTCCTGTACTGACCTGAGGGCCCAGAGAGGGATCAAGTTAAATCTGTCACCCTAACTCTTATAAAGACTGTGCTGTGTTGAAACATGCTGCTAGAAGGCCACTTAAAAACTCCTAATAACCTGTTACCTGCCTTGTCCAACTTTACGTTTATGTTCACAAATTATTTATCTATGTCAAGTCTCATCTATTGTCATATTCATTTGTCATTTTCATTTTGATGTCCTCACAAGAACTGGAAAGATTGTCTTTCATCAGACTCTCCCAGATTCATACTTTAAATGTGTAGTATCTCTAGTTTCCTAAACCATGTTTCTCCATTCATTACTAGCGCTCTAGACTTCCCTCAGTGACCTCTGTCTCTTCGTAAAGTGTGATGTGTGGTGTCAGTAGGACTCATTATTCCAAGAAATGTCAGTCAGCATTACCTTCCTGTCCTGAGATGGTGGGAAGCGAAGAAAGTGCAGCAGTTCTTGTTTGTATATCTGAATCCTCTCTTCTCTCCATAGGCACAGTTCGAGTGACAACTGCTGCCCATCTAGCCCTGCTGGTGGCTAAAAATGTCTCCTTCTTTCCCAGCAATGTGGAGCCATTTTCTGAGGGCAACATTGATGTGTGGTGGATTGTTCATGATGGGGGCATGCTCATGCTGCTACCCTTCCTACTGAAACAGCACAAGGTACTCTGGACACTCTTTCAAAGCATTTCTCTTGCTGTCCTGGCTCACTACATGCATTATTATTATTTAACTGAGTAGTGGTGGCACTTAAAATCTGAAGAGTTGGGAATTATTCTGGGCTGTCCCATAATCCCAGCTTCGACATTATTAGAAGTAGAGTGGGTTTAGGGTTTTTTTAACTTTATTTTATTTTGTTGCTGTTGTTGTTGTATATTACCAATCCACCTTAAGTGGACTCCAACAAGTTTACTAAAATTCCATATGAGTGTTTGAAACAAACAAACAAAAGCAACAGGAACACATCAGTTTCAGGGGTAAGTATGTGCATGTTGTGCCTGCCATACCCATATATACTCATTCTCCAATATGTTTGTATGGTGTCATTGTTATGCTGTCTGAATAAAGCACTCTCGGTGGATCTTGGATGGGGTTATGAAGATGTGTTTTACCCTCCCCATATGAAACCAGCAGCTGTTCCTGCAGTAGGCAGCAACTTGGTGTTGCTGAATCAATTCTGACTTTATTATCTGGAGGTAGCATTCTATCCCACAGATTGATAGTCTTACACACTGCCTTCCTGCATCCTGAGGATGCAGACTGAAAGTACTGTTCTACCCATGCTTCTGCCTTAAACCATTCGCCATTGGTGGTCAACCCAATCCTCAGTCCCTTGTCCTTCCAAGGATTTTACAAATTAAATGCCAAGAATCAGAGACAAACATCAATTTCACAATACTACATGAGCAAATTTTTTCTTGTAACAGAATTAAGAACTTAGAGCCAGCAATAATGAAGGATGCTGGTAGATCCCACCACTCAGGAGGCCAAGGTAGGAGGATCAAAGTTCAAGGCCAGCCTGAGCTATTGTGTTAACTTAGATTGTATTTAATGTGTTGCTTAGTCAAACCTCCAACCCACAAGTTCCAGAATAACCATTCTGAGACTTAATATTAATTATAAACTGTTTGACTAATGACTCAGGCTTCTTACTGACTAGCTCTACATATAAATTAACCCATTTCTAATAATATGGATATCGCCACATGCCCCGTGGCTTAACAGTAATGCTCTGGCATTGTACTCCTTTAGGAGCTGCTGGTGTCTCTCTGACTCCACCTTCTTTCTCCCTTTATCTTTGCTTGGATTTCTCACCTGGCTCTATTCTGACTGGCTATTGGCCATATCAGCTTCTTTATTAACCAATAGTAGCAAAACATATTCACTACATACAGAGAGGCAACTCACATCATTTTACACTACTACAAAAATGAATCAAGCAGGAAGCAAGGAACAAATACTTGATACTACAGCAAGCTCATCCTAGGCACAAATGTCTCATTTTAGGGAATCACTTTTCCCCCTTCATGCACCTAATTTCCCATGTACACATGGCATTTCATCAGGTATGGAGAAAATGCAGCATAAGGATCTTCACAGTGGCCCAACTCGAAGACAACAGTATCCAGATGAAGAAAGATCTGGCCACCTTCCTGTACCATCTGCGCATTGAGGCAGAAGTGGAAGTGGTGGAGATGGTGAGGAAGTAGAACTTGAAATAGAGGAGAACACCAGTCCCTCAACCCCAGCTCTCTTCTAGAATCTAGTCTGGGATATTAATCAGCTATAAATGTGTGGTTTAACCCCCTAGTCCTAAAAAAACAAACAAACAAAAAAAAAAACCCTAATTTATTGACCTAAGTAAGTAGGATGTATAAATGTTTGGGAGTTTTTTTTATTTGCTTTTATTTTAAATTATCTATATTTTTATTACTCTGTGTGTGTGTGTGTGTGTGTGTGTGTATGTGTAAGAGAGAGAGAGAGAGAGAAAGAGAGAGAGAGAGAGAGAGAGAGAGAGAGGGTTCACTACTTTGCTTATATCATGTGAGTCTCCGGACCCAAATTCATGGCATCAGACTTGACAGCAAATGTCTTTATCCACTGAGTCATCTTCCTGCCCCTGGGGTTACTTTTTCTTTGCTTTGTTATTTATTACACAGCTCATACATACATACATACATACATACATTATATATTGATGTTTGATCATATATGTATATTTCAAACTCTTAGCTGCTTAATATATTTATTAATATTTAATTCATGTTAAAAATCACACTAGCTTTGTATGGAAAATACAAGGTGCAGTATTTTGTTTCAAGGCCACAAATATGATCAAATCAAGGAAAATACTCAGTGACTGTATTTAATCTCCATCCCTGAAATCATGTCCTTATAACTCAAGACTGAACAAAATAGGAGTGAAAGGTTGATGCGATGACAGTTTTTCTGTGTAGAAATACAAATACTGGCTAACCCTCCTTTTTCTCTGTGCCTGCTTTGTGTGCTGTCTGTGGCAGCACGACAGTGACATCTCTGCCTATACATATGAGCGCACCCTCATGATGGAGCAGAGGTCCCAGATGCTCCGGCACATGCGACTGTCCAAAACAGAACGAGACAGAGAGGTAAGAAAGAGCTTGCTGGATTGACCTGGCCTGGTCTGTGAGGTCTGACAGTGATATCAGAAGACAAATCTTTTCTTCTCATTTTTTCAGTTATTCCAGTATAGCCTATGGTCCTTTCAAAACAGTTAAAGCATAAGAACAGGGAGAATAACTGTTTGACCTTTCCTAGGCACAGCTGGTGAAAGATCGAAACTCAATGCTACGCTTAACTAGCATTGGTTCTGATGAAGATGAAGAGACAGAAACTTACCAGGAGAAGGTACACATGACGTGGACCAAGGATAAGTACATGGCAACCCGGGGGCAAAAGGTCAAGTCAATAGAAGGATTCCAGGACCTACTTAATATGCGTCCGTAAGTGTTTCTACTCACAAGCTTATCCTGTAACAATACAGTATTCTATGCAGTGGTACATGTGACTTTACCTGTACAAGCTAACCATCCTTTTCTCCTCCACATTGCTTATTAAAAAATAAGAAAGCAGGGGCTGGAGAGATGGCTCAGTGGTTAAGAGCATTGCCTGCTCTTCCAAAGGTCCTGAGTTCCATTCCCGGCAACCACATGGTGGCTCACAGCCATCTGTAATGAGGTCTGGTGCCCTCTTCTGGCCTTTAGGCATACACGCAGACAGAATATTGTATACATAATAAATAAATAAATATTTAAAAAAAAAAAAACAAGAAAGCAGAATGAGAAAACCAGACCAGCAAAATAATGGCTTGTTGCCAAACCTTAGGACCTGATTGTGAGCACCAGGACTGATCTCCCAAAAGTTGGTGGAAGGAAAACCAACTCCCAAAAAGCTGCCCTCCTATACGCGCGCGCGCGCGCACACACACACACACACACACACACACACACTATGACATTATGCAGTCAAGTGAAAAGGCTCTGGCATCCAAACAAAGAGCACTTATAACTGGCTTTCTTCTCGCCTTGGCTCTCTCACTTCTTCCCCACCAGGGACCAGTCCAATGTGAGACGTATGCACACAGCAGTGAAGCTCAATGAAGTCATAGTTAACAAGTCCCATGAAGCCAAACTGGTTTTGCTGAATATGCCAGGACCACCCCGGAACCCTGAAGGTGATGAAAACTGTATCCTTCCTGTGAAGGTGCCAATAGGAAAGAAACCTTAGTTTGTTATGAGACAAGGCAATGGTTAAAGTCAGTCTGTTCTCCACTTTCCCTCTGAGGAAGAGCTAAATGCTATAGGTAGGGATGCTTCCAAAGTTGTGAGATTAACTGATTTCCTCTCAGGCAGCTGGGGCAGGGAGTTACTATGTACTCTCTGAATCCCAAGACTCTTAATTTTCAGCAATAAACCTAGAGACAGAACCCACATCCATTCTCCTTTCAGGATCCTCTGCAAAGCCATCTTCTGGATGAAGTTAGGGGGAAAACATTGGAGATAGAACTTCCTAACTAAGGAAATGGCCTAAGGCTTCTTCTTCATCCAGGGTTATGTTTATGGGAACCCTCTAGCCCTGCAATGAGATTGGTCCATCCTAGGAGCACCATTGAGGAAAGGGGGGATAGTTCATTAATGGAAAAAATGGTATGAAAATCTGACCCACGCAGCTCCACTTACAAATTCTGTGGGATCACTAGAGATCTTTTGAGCTGGTATTTTTTTAGCCCCTTTCTTATATTTTGGCATTTTTGTCAAAAGAAAAAATATACTGTCAGTTCTAGTTTTCAGTTCGTGTGCATACACATGTGTACAGGCACATGAATATGCATGCTCCATAGCATGTAAAGGTCAGAAGGCACCCTTTGAGAATCAGACTCAGCTAATCAGGCTTGGACACTTTTACCTGCCCCTACTTTAAGCCCTACTTTCATGTGTCTGTTGCCTGCACGTATGCTTGTGCACATTTAGTTGGTGCTCATGGAAGTCTGAAGAGGGTGTTGGACTTCTGGAACTGAGTTACAGATGGTCATGGGCCACCACATGCATGCTGGGAACTCATACCCTGGCCTCTGCAAGAGCATCAAGTGTTCTTAACCACTGAGACATCTCTCCAGCCACTTAAAACTTTTTATTTATGCCAGGCATTGTGATGCACCCTTAATCCCAGCATTCAGGAGGCAGAGGCAGGCAGATCACTGCGTTTCAGGCCAGCTAGTGTTACACAGTGAGAGTCTACCTCCAAAGTATTTGTGTGTTCTCCCCACTCATTACAAAGAATTGAACTCAAGTTGTCAGGCTTGTACAAATTCTTTCAATAGCTGAGCCATCTCACTGTTTACCCGGTTTTAAATCACATTTAGCAGATAACAAATAAGGGTTGGGGCTTATTCAGTGGTGGAACGTTTGCCTAACATGCATGGGACTCTTGGTTCAGGTCCCAGTACTTGAAAGTAGGGAGGAAGGAAACAGATGAGAATACCTTGTATTAAATATGCAAAGGTCTAGATCCCAGGATTATTTCATAGATTTAAAACTAAATCCAATTCCAGGCTTGGTGGTGCAAGCCTGTAATCTCAGCTACTTAGAAAAGTAAGGAAAAACTAGAGGTCTGCCCAGGTGCCATGAAGAATTAACACCGGCCTGGGCAATTTAGTGAGACCGTTTCCAAATTTCAGAAATTAAAATCAGAGCAGGTGAAACAGTTGCATAGTGGGGTGTTTGCCTAGCATGCACAGGGCCTTTGTTTTTATGCATAGCACTGCTGAAATGAATGGGTGGTGAATGTACAGATGGATGTTGAGTCCAAAGTTCAGGCTTTTCCAATTCTGAATATATAATTATGAAGAGAAGTATGCTGAGTTTGCAGCTCTGTGATCAAACAAACTTGGATTGCTGGTGCCAGGTTATAGTGTGCTATTCATCTGCCTGTTTCCTTGACAACTTCTAAAGACATGGAATTCCTAGAAGTACTCACCGAGGGATTAGAGCGAGTCCTCCTTGTCCGGGGCGGTGGCAGTGAAGTAATCACCATTTACTCCTAATCAGCTTGTGGAAGATTCTCCTTGGTCTTACCTTCACTAAGACTCATCACCCATGGAGATGACAGCTCTTTCCTACCACGCCCACTCTACTCTTGCGGAGCTGAGCCCCAACTATGCTCTTGGACAACATGATCTGCCATCCCAGCAGAGGCAAATACTCCCTTACGATCAGAACGGCCAAGTCCTGAAAGCTATTTCTGTGGCAGGAGAAGGCAAGCCAAAACTGCTGAAGGTAGTGAGTTAGTAAAACATATGCTAGAAACTAAACTAAAAGCAAAAAAAAAAAAAAAAAAAAAACAAGTTAATATCCAACGTTCAGGATGAGTCTCAGAAGACACGGTTCAATGACGACACCTGTCAGCCTCACCTTAGCAAAAAATGAGCGTGGCCGTTATCATTGTTGGAGATAGCCTGCGGCAAACGAAGTGAAAATTTAGGATACTTATACAAAACCTGAAAAATAGCTGCCGCTTCTACTTTTACTCAAAAATCAGACCCCCAGATACTAAGTTTTGCTGTCTGTGCTGTGCCACTGTATATTTCAGCGGTGTTTCTTCTAAAACCCATGCTGTGGTTGTAATGCAGACAGTGTTACTATGGAAAAAGGGTTCTGAAAGGTAAGATGTTTTTCTGGTTTTCAAACGGCTAGACAGGATTCCAGAGAGTACTATTAAAATGTGCAGAAATAGAGTCTATGATTAGCTCTGCGACACAAAGCACACAATGTATTATCTTAAGAATTGGAGGTTGTTAAGCAGCTTAAACCAGGAGGGTCTCTTCTTTTACCCTTAGTAGGCACTGGTTTAAAAAAAAAAAAAAAGCTCTAAGTAAGAGACAGAGACAATAGGAGTGTGTACTGCTACCTCCGGGGGCTCCTGGCTTTAGAGACAGAGACAATAGGAGTGTGTACTGTTACCTCCGGGGCTCCTGGCTTTAGAGGGGTTCAGCAGGGGAACTGGGCATGTGAGAGCCATACCCTTTACACGGTGCCAAAATTATCTGTCTAAAGTGGCAGACAGGTTCGCATTGGCCTGACATAAGCAGCTTTTCTTTTCACAAGAAATCAATCTGTGGCCTCTTCACCAAAGCCATAGTGAAGACTTGAGGCACTCACCTCCATGCCCAAAGCTGAGCTAGCCCCCTTGCAATGTTACTCTTCACTCAGACTCCAGAAATTTGGCTCTGAACCAAGTGGTTCCCTAAGCCAATGATCTGCTCTGTCAGTTTTGTTTCCAGAAATCTCTAAATGTGCCAAGGAAATACTTGTGTAAGCTCAGCTTCTTATTTTTCTAATTTATCGATCATGAACACCCGGCTTACCAGCATAGGAAGTCTTTGTGGCTGAGCAGTAATTTCAAGTATGTGAAACCTTCATATTCTTTACAAGATAGTTAAGAGACTGTCTTCCTGCTTACACACATGACTGCTTTTAAATTCCCCTTATGGTAAATTTGCCACAGTCCATACCCTGGAGGAATGGAACACCCAAAATTCATCCTGAGACAGAAGACCCTCAAATATGGCCTAAGAAGCTGAGTCATGTGATTTGTTCTTAATCCTCCCACACACACACCCTGCCCACCCGCCACTCAAGGTAGCATAGAGGATGCAAAATTTTTTCCTGCTCCTCCCAGCAGAGGGTAAAAAATGTCTCCAGTTCCCTTTCCAACACTCAGTTCTATAGTTGAATACAGTCCCCTAGGCTCCAAGGTATTAAACACCCATTCTGTAAAAGCCAGCCTGCCCAGGAACTGCCTAACACCTACCCCTGATCAAAGTGATACCACCTTTTTAGCTATCAAACAAATATGGGCAGAGAATAAAGTTAACGTTGAGAAAGGCTGTGGTTAGAGCTGTGTAAGAATCTTTTAAAGGGTAAGAAAATTAGTAGCTATTAATATAGCTATTACTTCAGTCCCTAAAGCATAAAATCACTGTTACAGGGAAAAATGGTTATTAGGCCAGATTTATACTCATCTCTGTCTAGAGCATTTCATGTCTATGTGTTGCTTATGTTGTCTGTCTGCAAAGTGTCTTTATCTCTTTTAATCACTGCAAATAAAGCAATACTGAAAACTTGAGAGAAAATGCACCTTAGGGGAAGGGGCCAAATGTTTCTAGAGGGAAGAGAAAGACCTTCTCCTGCCTTCTTAGAAGACCCAGCTTGTGTGTCTTATCTATGAGTTATCAGGCAGGCTGTAACATTCATTCTCCCCCAGCTGGCCCTCAGCCTTCCATAGCAATCTTAAAAGCTGGAGTTTGAACTGCAGGGCCTGCTTGACAAGTGCCAGTTTCCTCGTGGCAGAGGAAGTCACTGTTCTTCCTCTTCCGTCGCATCCTATTCTTGTGGCCCCAAGGATCCCATCAATCCTCATTCCCCCAAATGTTAAAAAACTTCTTATTGTGGATATTAAAATAAGTTACACTGTAAGCATATTTACATGCTCTTTTTTTCTGGTTTATTTTTCTTTTCATCATGTAAAATTTGAATCCAGGAGAGAAGTTTCTCACATCTTCCAAAAAAATGTCTGATATAGAATCTTTGTCTCTGCTTATGCGATATAGAAGTGAAATATTAACACAGATATAAGGGGAACTTGAGAAACTTTTAAAGCATTGTTCTCAACCGTTTAATTTATTGAAAGGAGATGCTGCTACTCAGCGGCTGCTGTTCTTTTGTTTACATAGTCTGGTTTTGTCTGTTTCGCTCTGTGCTGAGAACATAAATAAAGTTTTCTACATTATTTTCAGTCACAAGTTGTGCTATAGTTTCTTTTCTGCTGTAACACGCTGCACATTGTCCTCGTAGAATCTGTCTCTCACCATGAAAGAACTGCAGACTTTTTGGTTCTTCTCAACATGCGTGATTATTCTAAGTGAGCACACTAAGGAGCTGTGAGCTTAAGCAGAGTGCAGACGAGGCCCATGCAAACGAGGCCTCTACACATGGACACCGGGTGCTTACTGGGTTCACAAAAGTAATCCTCCACCACTGAACTCCATTCTCTAAAAAAAGAAACAGCAAAGAGGTGAACGATGCATAACTTACTCAGTTACTTAATCACACGCTCTGCCATACACGACACTAACTTCCAAACTCCTAATACTTTTTTATTACTTAAGAAATGAACTCTTGGGCCAGCTAGAGGGCTCAGAGGGTAAAGGCACTTGTTGCCAAGCCTGATAACCTGAATTCAGTTCTCAAAACCAATATAATAGAAGGAGAAAACCAACTCCTGCAAGTTGTTCTCTAACCCCACAACACACACACACACAGAGGCATGCAATAAACATGACAATGTAAAAATAAAGCTTTAAAAAAAAATTAAGTGAGCCAGGCGGTGGTGGTGCACGCCTTTAATCCCAGCACTCGGGAGGCAGAGGCAGGCGGATCTCTGTTCGAGACCAGCCTGGTCTACAGAGCTAGTTCCAGGACAGGCTCCAAAGCCACAGAGAAACCCTGTCTCGAAAAACCAAAAAAAAAAAAAAAAATTAAGTGAACTCTCAACACCAACTCTAATTCTCCCATCAAATGATCCATACATCCCATTTGCCTGAAACATTAACCTTACCTCAGGGGGCTCAATAAAGGCTAGCCAGTCTGATGCGTGTGTAGGCAACAGTCCCATGGACTGGCACTTGTAAACAGCCAATGCCAAACCCATCAGGTTCCCAATGAGATAGACCAATCCTTGAAGGAACTTCTGACTTGAACTCTCCAGCATCTTGAAAGCTGTTAGGATAATAGATATTGTCAAAAACCTTTTGTCTCCCAATATGAATGAAAGCAACTATGAATTTATTTATACATACATACACAAGATTGTAAATAGTATCACTCTAAGTAAACAGCTACACACCATCTTCTTTTCATGCCACCACTCTCATTACCACCCTGTGCACCCTCTAGCCAAAAATATACCACAGAATTTGCCTTCAATCTTTAGCACCCACTGAAGGGTGGTTATTTTATGAATACTTACTGGCTGAAATGGCCATCAGTGCTTGGATGGGTCGCCAGGCCATCATACACACCATCATAGTAGGGAAGATGGAGATGGTATTGCCTGCCATGTACATTATGAAGAGGTTCATAGGAATCTGTTTGAGGGGACCCAGGGCGATGTCCCAGCAGCGCTAAAACAAACACATGGTTTAAATCCCCGATCAGTACCTCCATTCAGTCTCACATTTGCCGTATGATGCTTCAGTCAAATGAACAGAAGTTTCAGTTCTCTAGTTGTCTGAGCTGCTTTTCAGCTCCATCACCACTTCAGGTTACTACACTCTTCCCTATACAAGTTTTCCAGGGGTTCTTTTTGTTTGGTTTTTCTGTGTAGTCCTGGCTATCTTGGAATTCAGAAATCTGCCTGCCTCTGCCTCCCAAGTGCTGGGATTAAAGGCATGTGCCATCACTGCCCAGCAAGTTTTGAGAAATTTATAATTTTCGTTCCTTGAGACCACATCTTGCTATGTCCAGGCTGACCTCCAACTTGAGGGTTTTTTTTTTTTTTGGTATCTTCTCAGCTGATAGGATTGTAGATATGCACCACCACACCACATCCAACTAGAAATTCATAATATTAATGTACAGCACTCAGTAGGCAGAGGCAGGCATATCTCTGACTTTGAGGCAAGCCTGATCTACAAAGCAAGTTCTAGACAGCCAGGACTGTTTCACAGAGAAACCCTATCTCGAAAAAACAAAACAAACAAAAACAAAAAAGAATGTGTGAGAAGTTTCAGAATCTAGTTCATGAAAGGAGACAACACACTAAAGTTTGAGAAGAAAACAAAAATGAGAGAAATTCATTAATAAATAAAATCATCAACGGTAAACTTGGGTTTTTGCAAAGATTATAAATTCAATTCTGGTAAGTGAGGAATTGGAAAGGAGAGAAGACAACTTTTCATGTCCAGAAGAAAGAGGGGACAGCTCTATGGATCCTGCAGATGTTACACTGGCCACATTAGAGACTACTCTATCTATTTGAAATTTTAGGAAATGGATAAATTCCTAGAAATATGGCTTATACAAATGGCATAAGAAAAAAGGAACAAACATAGTCCCATGGCAGTTAACAAAGCTGACCCTATAATTAAGCCCAGATGGCTTCTCTTGGCAAATTCTGATTATTAAAAGCTAAAAATAAAATCAAGTCTTAAACTCTTTTGGAAGGAAACAAAACTAAACTAAAAATTCTACAACTCAAAACCCATAAATAACGCCTTTAATCCCAGCACTTGGGAGGCAGAGGCAGGCGGATCTTTGTGAGTTCGAGACCAGCCTGGTCTAAGCCGGGCGGTGGTGGCGCACGCCTTTAATCCCAGCACTTGGGAGGCAGAGGCAGGAGGATCTTTGTGAGTTCGAGACCAGCCTGGTCTACAAGAGCTAGTTCCAGGACAGGCTCCAAAACCACAGAGAAACCCTGTCTCGAAAAACCAAAAAAAAAAAAAAAAAAAAACCCATAAATACCCAAACTTTAAAATCCCATTATGAGAAGTGTATGTGTGTGTAAATAAATATATTTTACTCATGATTGAATCTAAATGCAAAAATCCTGACAATGGCGCTGAAGAGATTGGCTCAATGTTTAAAAGTATTTGTTGCTTCTGCGGGGAACCGATTTGGATCCTAGCTCCCGTATCTCTAACTCCAGTCGTGGATCTGACCTCTGAAAGCACTAGGCATACACAATACACACTATGTATGTGAAGGCAAAACACTAATAAACATAAAATAAACATAAAAAAATAAACTTAATCTTGACAGTATTGGCAAAGTAAATCTATATAAATATAATAATAACTATTTTGTTCACATTTAAAAAGCCTTATTTGTAAATAATTTCCTATAGACCATTCATAGAACACAGAATTGTTATAAAAGTATTTTATAATCTGCCTTTTAAAAATGTAATTTAATAATTTACTATAATGTAATCATATTATACTTTGATGTGCCAAGATGAAAAATTATGAGATAATACTTAAAAAAATTAACAATGGCTCTGTCATTTTCATATTGTAAAAACAATGTGTGCATTCCTTGGAATAAAAATCATGTATTCAGCAATATTAAGGTTGTGAGGGAAATATAAGAAGGAAAATATCAAGCACCACTCTAAACACTTGGGACACAGTTCTATTGTAAAATCCCTGCTAATATATCTTTACAAGAGGGATAAGACAGATGATGAATAACAATTGCCATGTGATATGTTTTTTAACATACATAAAAGACACAGAAAAACACAAAGGATACAGAGTGCCATAGAGAGGCTTAACTATGTAACAGTTCAGAGAACCTAAAGGAAAAGAGCAAGCAAGCTAGTTATAAAGGAATCCAGAGGAAATGCATTCTAAGAATAGAGAACAAACACAAAAAGCAGGGAATGGGAACTTGTTTGGAATCCTTAAAAAGCAGCAAGGAAACCATTATGATCAGAGTAAACAAATGCAAAAATGGTAGGAGATAAGGCTAAAGATGCTACGAGGAGTCTGACTGGTATATGCAGAGTTATGTATAATACTAAAAAGATTTTTTTTTAATGCTGGATGAACATGGAATTATAGACTGATTTTGAGAAGGGATGATCTGGCATGTTTTAAAGGGATCATTTTGATGGCTGTACGTGGAGACTACAGGGGGACAAGGCAAAAGCAGCAAGATCAGTTAGAACTCTATACAGAAAGGGATATTGGGAATCTGAGAAGGGGGAGACTTGAATATAGGTTCTCTTTCAAAATGGTGGTGGTTTCATTGAGGGTATACACTGTTGTATATCATCGAATTGTACCCTTTTAGATTAGAGGTTCCCAAGCAAGGGCAATTTGCCTCCTGGAAAACATCTGGCAATGCTGGAAACATCTTTGGTTCACACAATTATGGGAAGAAATTGTAGAGATCAGGAGTACTAAACAGTACCCAGTACAAGTCCCCACAACAAAAGAAGTACTTAGCCCCCAAAAGAAAATGGTGCTGAGGTTGAGAAACCATGCTTTATTATAAATGGAGGGAGGGGCTGGGCAGTAGTGGCACACGCCTTTAATTCCAGCACTCGAGAAGCAGAGACAGGCAGATCTGTGAGTCTGAGACCAGCCTGATCTACACTGCGAGTTCCAGGATAAGGCTCCAATACTACTGGGAAACCCTGTCTTGAGGTAGACAGACAGCTAGATAAAAACAGGGACGGAGAGGCAGTTGGTAATGATTAGTCTACTGCAAAAATCTGGGTGCAGGGTGGTGGCTAGGGCTGGGATGATGTAACAGTGAAAGCAGTAAGAAATGATAGCAGGATTGGGATTTTGTTTTTGAAAGTACAAAGTAACACAGGGATGAAGAGATGGCTCAGAGTTTAAGAACATCAGCTGCTCTTCCAGAGGTTTCAATTCCCAGCACCCACATGGCAGCTCACGCCTGTCTGTAACTCCAGTTCTAGGTGATCTGACACCTTCACACCAATTCACATAAAATAAAGTTAAATTATTTTTTAGAAAAGTAACACAACATCCTAACAGACTGAAAGTATGGTGTCAGGGGACTAGAGTAGAAAATTATGACTTCAGGGAGAAGGTGTTGCCACCATGCCATTTTCAACCTATTTCACAGACGTACTGTTTTCAACTAACCACTTTTGGATCTTATATGTAAGATACTGTAATATGAATCTAAAGCAGTTTAGCTCCCAAACACTCAAGCAATGGCTATCTTTACCTCTCCTCCGGAGAGCAAGGTGAGAAAGGGCTG